AATTTTGGTTTTTGAGTTTTTGGTGAAATTTGGCAGTGTGGCACAGTAAATGGTGGTTATAGACTTCGCGCACCATACATTGTTTTTATTTCCTGTTGATCCTGTCGATCATTATCTCATTTCAACTGATTTTTTGTTTTAACGGATTTAGTATTAGGTGGTCAGTCCCATAGATCCATTGAAACGAGGTTTGACTGTACTCTATTTTTAACTTATATTTTATGTATTTTTCTATTATTAATTGAATTGAAATAAAATAATTTTTTTTTGTAAGTAAATTCCAAGTCATGTGCCTACTAATTTATCATTGGCCTAAATTATTTATAGAAACAATTAATTGTAACTAAATCAATAAAAAAATTTTTTTTTATAAAATGGTAGCATACAAACAAATTGAAAATGGGTTAGAACGAGCAAGAAGAGATTATGAAAAGGCAGATAAGAAGTTGGAGAGGTTGAACAATTTGAAGAGGAGGAGGGTGGAAGAAGAATATGAAGGGGAAAAGGAGGATTTAGAAAGAGATAAAGAGCAGCTGAAGAAAGAGAAGGAGATGTGGGGAAATGAAATAGTAGAGTGGAACAGAGCATTAAGAAAATTCGAAGAAAAAGGTAATGAACAATTTGCGTAAAAAATATACAAAAAATTATTTTCCATTCATTTGGTATACTGTTTAGAACTTTAACTAACCAAAATTCCTTTTTTTATTCCTATGATGAAAACTTGGCATCAATCATAATATTTCACTTCTTATTAATAATTTTAACAAGATGCAAGTGGGGAACTTGAGGTAGAAAGGAAAAAATGACATAAGCTCGAAGACACATTGTTGTTAACATCATCAGTTGCTAGTGACTCTGAACGATGGTCCCTCTATGTTCCAGATATGCAAGAACCTGTAAATCCGTGGTTTATACCAGATGATGAAGGTTTGACATTTGATAATCCACTGAATTCCTACAATGAAATCACTTATCAAAAATATTTATGAGAAATATTTCAAGTCAAATAGGAGAAAATGGTATTACACAGATTGTTGATACTCATAATCAAATGTATCTTGAAGGGCCAGCACCTGATATATCAGTTGTAACATTAAATTATGTTCTGAATATATATTCAGTGGACTGTGTTGGAGATATAAAACCAAGAAAGTCAGAATTATACTGCTTTCAGAATTCTCACAAAGGACAAATGCTAAAGTATGGGTTGAAATTATTAAAAGCACAACATTGAAGGAACGTTACACTATTCCTTACTGATTGTCATGAGGTGATGTTTATTCGAATTTATAAAACAGATAACACAACCACTGGTCTTTCATATATGGTTGATTATACCAATTGCTTGCACTTAAAACAACCTAATGGTGAAGGTAATTGTCTTCTTCGAGCTCTGCTAACACATAACACATACCATCCACTGGTTCAGATAGATGGGGTAACAGTTAATACAATATTATGCCATGGCAGCACTGCAAGTGTATATACAGTCAAGGAATACCCAAATCAATTGGTCAAAATCATAAGGGAGACTCACATATTGCAAAACGAAATCAAAATTATGAATATTTTGAAAGGAACACCTAACATCATACAGCTTGAGAAACACTCAACTACTTGTCTTTTGCTTTATCCACGGTGTATTGATTCAGTTATTTCCAAAGAATTAATAAATTTTCACCCCAAACAACTTGCTATAATTATAGATGTTTTAAAAGTATTCATGAAAAAGGTGTTCTTCATCGGGATTGCCATCCATCAAACATACTTTACTACATTGATGAGTCTAATGAATTGAAGTTTATCTTATCTGATTTTGGTTACAGCATATTGTCTAATGATCAACCTGCTATTTATAAAGGTTCCCATCCTCTATATATGTCACAATTATACATGAAGTCGAAACTATTTTGACCATTTGCAGATCTGGTTGAAATAGGGTCAAAATAAGGTTGAAACTGATTTTTACTATGTAGTTGCCTCAAGTCAAAACATTTCGACTTTGGGGTTTTAATTTCGACTTCATGTATAGTCACAATATATTTTGGAAAGATGGGATACTCTTGTAGAATTTCGTCCACAAGATGACTTACACATTTTAATTCATAATATTTATTTATTGATGAACAAAACAAAACATGATACAGTTAATCTTTATAATCTAATTGATATCAAAACTTTTTGGGCTTCCAAAATTTCAAATGAACCCTGGGATAATATTTTAAAACTTGCTGAAGAATGTCAGTACAATGAACTCAAAAAGGCAATCTTAGCATTATAATCAATAATTTTAATATATTCGAAAGAGTTAGGAAAAACTTTGCTTAGATATTTATATTTTTAGTAAAAATACAAATAATGGTACCATTGTTTTTAATGTCTGGATATAATTAATCAGCATAGTGGACATTCGTTTTATCACTTGTGACAAAATTGATCATCAATCTTTTTTATATTGTGAGACTTGCTATTTCAATTGAATTTAGAATAGAAAAACGTTGTGACTGTGCACAAAACCCATTTTATGGAAAATCTATTTTTTTTATATCAATATACACTGCCCTCCAAAAAGTATTTGGACGATGTTTTTTGATAATTACGCAAAATGCCACATAACGAAAGTACATAAAATTTATGTCATTTTATTGCTTGGTTCTGACGACTCTACATATAAAATCTCATTTTCCTATCATTCTTTTATGATTTTTAATTAAAAAAAAACGAACACCAAATAAATCGCGAGGCTTATTTTTGTGATTTTCCAATAATTTTATTTCTCGAAATTTTATATCATAAAATTTAATAAAAATTTAACAGTTTGTAATTTAGGTTCTCATAAATAAATGACTAAAACTTCATGTTCTTGTCATGTGTAAAAGTTTTGTTATTCAAATAAACCGAGTACCAATAAAATTGATTAGATCAAAAAAAATCGTGAAAATTTTTTTTGATTTTTAAAAATGGCAAAAAAGAAAAATTCAGAATTAACTGAAGTTTAGCGAGGAAAAATTTTAGGCCTAAGAATAAGTGGTAGTTCTCTTGCAAAAATTGCAAAGAAATTTAATATTCCAAAGTCTACAGTTCATTATACTATCAAACATTATGAGAATGCAGAGAATTTAAAAAGTGCACCAAGAAGTGGTCACCCAAAGTTGTTGAAAGTTGAAGATCAAAAATTTTTAAAAGAAATTGCATCAAAAGAAAACCGTAGTTCTTTAGAGGAAATTCAAAAAAGGTTTGTAGAAGTTAATGGTGTTAAGGTATCAAGAAATACAATTCGCACAAATTTGCATGAACTTGGGATTTTTTCCAGAATTGCTGCAAACAAGCCCTTGTTAAAAAATCAACAAAGAGAGAACAGGTTGAAGTGGTGTATGCAAAGAAGAAATTGGACAATAAGACAATGGAAAGCAATTATTTGGAGTGATGAGTCATGTTTCAAAATTTTTAGAAGTGATGGTCCAACTCGAGTTTGGCGAAATGATGGTGAATGTTACAAAATTAAGAATGTTAGGCCAACTGTTAAACATGGTGGTGGTAGTGTAATGGTGTGGGGATTTTTTTCTGGTAAAGGGTTGGGACCTTTGGTTAAGTAGACGGAAAGATGAACCATAGAGATTATATTGAAATTTTGGATAAAAATCTGGTTCCATTGATCACAACACAATTTCGTAGTAGAGGTTACAAATTTCAAGATGACAATGTGCCAGTACACACAGCAAGAAATGTACAAAATTGGATAAAAGAAAAGAAAATAAATGTATTGTCTGATTGGCCATCTCAATCACCCGATCTTAATCCAATTGAGCATTTATGGAGTGAATTGGAATAGAGACTGAAAAAATGAGAAAATTATCCAAAAAATGCAACAGAATTGGAGGTTGCAATGAAAGAAGAATGGTCTCAAATCCCTCAGAATGTATTAAATAACCTTATTGAAAGTATGCCGAGAAGGATTGAAGCATGTATTTCTAATAACGGGTGGCCAACAGAATATTAGTATTTTTTTTAAAAAATTTTAAAAAATTAAAAAATTTGAAATGATCATCATTAAATAAAATTTTGGTCGGTGTTCGTATTTTTTTAATTAAAAATCATAAAAGAACGATAGAAAAATGAGATTTTATATGTAGAGTCGTCAGAACTAAGCCATATAATGACATAAATTTTATGTACTTTTGTTATGTGGTATTTTGCGTAATTATCAAAAAACATCGTCCAAATACTTTTTGGAGGGCAGTGTATCACTTTGACTTTTCTTTATACATGTATTTTGGTAAAACTTGATCAATTTGATCAATTTGATTTCAATAAGTTACCTTAGAAGTAAAAGTTTAAGGCTTCTG